TAGCAACCAAAACTGACACCAATTAATGCTTTGATGGTCTCCTAATTAACAGTGGAACAGTGGAATTCCAGCAAGGACCTTTCAGGACACCCCACAGCTACCTAAGAAGGGAATAGTTGTGGTCTGCACCAACAGCTTTCTTTATCAAAACAAAAATCACACTCCAAAATCACCAATACAACCACCCCCTCTGGACGAGAACTTTTAAAAGCGAGACCCTGATGGTTCTTAAATGCAGGTGCTTGATCGGCAAGTGCTGACTGTGAAATTACAGGGCATGGATAAACAAGACTGAGGATACAACTGGGTGCCTACAAGACTAAACCAGAATGGTCATTTAGTCCCTCGCTCTGTGTGCTTATCATGTTCCAGAAGAACAATGTAATGAACTACATCTGCCATCTCAGTATGTGATCTAGTTACACAGCAGTAAAAAAGAACAGACTATTGACATTTAACAAGGAAAGCCAAAGATTAAAATAAAAATAATTGGTATAAAATGGCATCTAGAAGAAAAAAAACCAAAAAGGAAACACTTCTTCAATGACTTTGGTTTTGAAATGAAAACAAGTAAATTGACGTATTTAATCTCCTGACATAAAAGAAGAAAATGATACATAAGACATTTTCCCCCTTGAACAAATTCAATATAAGTTGATAAAATCACAGACTCCATACCCTCTTGCAATACTTAAAAATACTTGAAAGAATTGGTAAGAGGGGCAATCTGATAATCTGACTGAATTTTTGCTCTTCTCGACTACACCAATTCTTCTATGTTATACAAACCTCATATTCAAATTTGTGTAACTTTTAAAAGTCACACAGCTGTGCCCCTAGCTGAAGGCTATTTCAGTTAAGGAGGGCTGCAAGATGAAGATGCAGTAGCTATGTGTTTGTTCTCCTTCTGGAAAAGAAGCTCCCACAGAGTGACTGCAGCAGACAAGCTATCAATTAATCCCTCTTTGTAGACAAAGTTCTAAGTGTGAAGGTGAGAATTATTGAGTCACTCCTCTCAGGGCTGAAAACTCTAGTTTGATTCTGGCATAATTAAGTTTTCGCTTCACAAACACAGAAAGAGAACAAGCAAAACAGCAGAATTGAAGAAAAAACCGTGCATGCTACCACAAAGCTTTTTTAACATGCGCAGTTACAAATTTCTGTGCCATTTTATAGCTGTCAAGTCTTAATTAAAATACTACATTTCTCTGACTCATGGTGCTGTAGGATGTATGTATATTATTCACATGAATATTAATCTCTTCCCAGGTAGGAGGCTGAATTGCTATGGGGATTTATAATCACATCACATATGGAAACTTCTTGGTGGTTTTTTTTTTTTTTTCTTTCCTTCAAATTTCAGTCAGATCATTAACAATTAAGAGTCATAGGAACCATTTCAGCAGCCTCTGTGAGAGGAATCCAGCAGATCAGATCCGTGAGCTGGAGCTCCACATGTATTAATGAAACGATACTGCACAATGAGGAAGCGGAAGAGAGCTGGAGGCATCACTTTGACCATTAAGGACATAAGCAGCTGCTCTAAGTGCTGGAACAAAAGAGAAGGGTAGTCCTCTTGAAAGCTTCTAGGTAATGACAGAAGATGGGAAGATGTTAATAGGTTGATCAGAGAAATGAGACATGACCTTTTCTAACTACCAGCAGAATCACCTGGTTAGACTATCGCTACAAGGACCTTTAAAGTCCTGATAATTATCTGGATAGTCTGTATTCCTATCACCGACTTCCAAACAAGATCTGGGAATGAGCTGATGATGCATAAAGGTGCAGAAAGTAACTAGCAGAGATGCTCTTCTAGATTTGAGCAAAAGTACCACGAGAAATGAGGATGCAAATGCATCTGAGAAAACTGTGACTGTCTTTGATACCCTAGAAGGAAAGGAATTAGACATGCTAGAAAAATGCTATGTAATTCAAAAACACAAACTAATAAAAACTCAGAAAATCAGTAGCTAGACTCATGAGACAGGCTTAAAGGACCAGGGGCTTCAAGAAACTGTCAACAGTTAATGAAACAGCATTAACAGACAAAAATCACAAGCTATCCCCAGTGAAGAGGAATAAAAGAGCATACAATGAGATCTGTCCCCCTCTTCAGAAGGCTTGAACCCTCTTCTCAAGGAAGTTTTTAAGGACAAGCATGATTGCACAGGAAAGAAATCAAAAGGCTGAAGCATAAAATTAAACACCTAGCAGTGAAAACACAACACGACAGAACCACGGCTGCTACTCCTAGGAAGACAAAACTAGCATCAGGTGGCATTTGGAAAGGTGGAATATTTGATGCCTTAATTGCTTCAGGTCTTCACTGACAGGGACAACTGCAGTCAGGCAGCTGACAGTATTAATATTGTTTTTTTTTAAAAAGGAAAAAAAGAGTTTAGCAAGTTATAAAAAACAGGCTGCAGTAAAGGAAAACCAATTTGAAAGCTAACAGATAAGGTAGTTAGAAGTCAGTTGGTCCTGTTAAACCTTCATCCTCGGGTACCAGGTTGCAACACTGACAATCACAAAGCACTAAAAACTTGAAAAACAGGCAATGCAGTTGAAGATTTGAAAAGGGCAAAGCAAGCATTTATGCTTAAAAACAGGGAGAGGAAGACTTGGATAATTATGAAAGCACTAACTTGACTTCCCCCCGGGAACTGAAGACTGGAACAAATAATCAAGTTATTCACAAATCTTCTAGAACATAAAAAGGAGAGAAATAACAGCAAGCATGGTTTCAACAAGAGTAGAACTGTGTCAAATGCACTTAACTTCCTTCTATGACAAGGTAAATTAGTTTTAGGGGTAGAAGAAGAACAGCAGAATTGTATTCAGCGTAACCAAATGCAAAGAACGTATCAAGCAGGCTCCATCAAGAAGCTCTGGTAGCACACCACTTGGCAGCTTGGGTGCTACACAACTTTTTCACATACAACTTGAAGTATTTTTAGGCATAACAGATTAGGAAAAGACAATGGGCTTAAGGAAAAAAGAGAAAAGCAATTCTGTAAGAACAAGTGCAAAGCCATATTCAGCTGTAATCCAACACAAACTAGCTTAAGGAAAAAGTGAAAAAGCACTGCTTCAGAAGGAACCTCAGCACTGGAAAGAATAAGAGGCTAACTATGCATCAGCGTTAGTCTGCAATAAAAAGGGACCAACCCAGCAGGATACTTGATGTCTTGGAATATCAGGATCACAGCCTAAAGCACAAAGTCTTTGTTGCTCTGTAGTGCACATGAACAGGCTCTCAGCCGGGTTTCTTCATTCAACTTCGGACGCTGCACTTCAGGAAGAACAAAGAGGTGGATGGGGCAAGGAGGGAAGAACAGGCTGATTAAAGAGTGCCTAAAACAAAACCTCACAAGAAAAGGCTAAAAGAAAAAGGGTCATTTAGTGAACATGAGAAGAGCAAGTGGGTCTTCATCCTCTCTTTGCAACAGCCCTTCACTACTCCACAGAGGAAGGGAATCAGTTCTGCTCCTTTACTCCTTGTCCTAATCATGAGAAATAGATTTATATGGCACAACAGAGATCTAGAGCAGAGGTCAGGAAAAGCCTTTGGACAGTAGAGACAGGTAAGCCCTGGAGCTGGCTGCTGGAAAGCTCCATCTCTGTTTTTCATTTTAAGGGAATTTTGGATCCATAGTTGTTGGGAGTGGTCAAGACAAAGCAAATCATGACACCTTGCTATGATAACTAAACCAGCATTTCTGTAACAGTCATCTCAAAGCATCTTCCTTCCAGTCCAGCAGAAACAAAGATGGATGCTGAACCACCTTGTACCCTCTCAGGGAAAAAAAAAAGAGATAGCCAGAGGGAAAGGCATCTCTGAATCTCTTGACCCTTCTAGTATGTTTGTGCACTTGTTTTCCATAAGGCACAGAACTAAACTGTTTTGCTTGCATGCTCTACAATACCACAACATAAGTTAATTTTCTTTTTAGATACTGATGGTGTTCTTAAATTTCACTTTCCATGTAATACTGACAGTTTTGACCTGAATCCCTTCTGCTCAGAAGCGAAGTAACACAGTAATTGAATTTACAATCCAGATAAGCCAAGGGAAAAAATATTTCTGCTATGGCACTTCAGATGCCTCCACAGATGCAAAAAAAATAATTGTTTTCCTAAAAATCTGCAACAAATCCAGAAGAGAAAGAGAAGTCCTGCTACTGAAAGATACTGTAAAATAATTTCTTATAAAAACAAAACAAGAGAGCTATAGAGTAGTATTACTAAATGAAATATGTTAACTCTGCACTTTGGGTAGTAGGCAATAGTTTATCTTCTATAGAATATGAACACCATATGTTATCTTTCTGTGGGTATACAGATGGATGAAAGCATAAGACTTTTTTTTTTTTTAAAGAAAACACAACTTTTTGGGTCTTAATTGCTGTTTTCTAAAACAGGAGTGTTTATACTCTAGAAGAAAATGTCATAACCTTTTCCTTTTGACTTCCCAAATCAAGATTATTTATTTTTAAATCTTAGTTTCATGAGATAGAAATACCAAGACTTATTATACACCCACTTTCAATTAGTATATATAAAAATATTTGATGTAAAGTTTTCCAAAAAACATTTTCACACGGCAAATAATACAAATAACTCCTACTAAGCTAACAAGCTATCCTCAAGTTGCCTTGCTAAAAAGTCTTAACTTCAAACAGTTTAACACAAACCATTTAGTCACAGATATTATCATCACTCTTTACAAATTCAGATAACAGTTTATCTGCTTCTGCATCTTTTCTGATATTCATCTCTGGTTCCACACAATGATGTTGAAAATGTTTGGTAAAATTAGACAGCTCTAAGACCATCACAACATGCCGCAGTCCTACCCAATACATTTGATTAAGTTTTTGTCTGCAGAACTTCAAAACTGTAAGAGGTGTCTTACAGGGAAGAACAAATGAAACCTCGAGGCACAGATCTGAAACGCAGGTAGCACAGAGAAGGAGCAAAGCAAAACTCCATCCTACCTCTTGAAGCTGCAGTCGAACTTTGCTAATGGCTCTAATCCAATGGGCTCTTGCTGGAGGAAATGGTGGTGGCTCGCTGTCACCATGGCAGCTTAAAGGCAAGAAACAGAAAATCACTATGTGAAAAACACTCATCTGTAGCATTAAAGATTCAATGTTACATAGTGTAATCACAGCTTCAGCTCTGGAAGCTAAAGTAACCAGCAGGCTCCCGGTAAACACAGCCTTGCACATGCTCTGGGAAGTGAGAGGGTAAAGAACACATTTCCCTCTACACAGGAACAGTCTTGGAAACTGAGGAGCTAAAAGATATAAACTAGGATACAGTCCAACCCTAGGAGTAGGATGATGTTGGTCAGAACATCAGGAAGGCAGTCCAAGATACCTGATCTAGCCAGTTCAACACACTGGTGCAATAAATGCACACACAAAGAGGACCGCTGCCTCTTCCCACTCACCCCTACTGCTACAAATTTACAGAGCCTCTTCAGTGGAAACACTGGCAGCAGGGCTCAGATGTGTTTTTTCCCCATTCATTTCACCTTTCTCACTCCACCCTCTCCTACAGCTTTTCCAGAGGGCATGTGTATCTGGCAGCAAGGCTCCATCTCAGTGCCCCACAGCACATGTTACATTCCCTAACCTCATGATACAGTGGGCCTTTGGTTGTATTCCTTCCTTTGCATGTTGTTGAGGTGTCAGTCACAGAGACAAACATCTGTCTGCAAAGCACAGTATAAAAAAAAAAAAAAAAAACAACATAGCTAGTTGCAGAAAGTGTCCATGCTACACATGTAGCTCAGGTGCAACTCTAAGGATCAACATTCAGAGCTCAGTTCCAGGCATACTTCATGGAGACAGGAAAGCATTGCCAGAAAATTGAGAGAAAGGGAGCCAGTGCTGCAGGAGTATCCAGGTTAGATGGCTAAATTAGCCTGCAACAGATTATGTGAACAGCCTTCCAACAAATATAGGCCAGCCATTCTGGGACAAGACTCCTGCTGCTCTGGAAGGAAAAGAGGAAAGTGAGTCAGAGTTTAAAAACAGTTTAACACTTTTCTAGTCTTGTTTTCCTTTTTTTAGATCTTTAGTGTAAGGGTTGCCTACACATGAACTGCTGTGGTTAATTCTCTCATATAAGCACAGTGACACCAGCTGTACCCTCCCAAAGGGTAGAGACAGGCAGACATCTTACCATGGATCTAACTGAATGAGATGAAAACAACCCCTCATACTTATGAAAGTATAACCATATCCACGCTAGGGACTTCAATGACTGGAGTACCTCAAGGAAAAAAAGTCATTCCCCAAGCTAAGTAGTGAAATTTGAAATTCCTGAAAAACCTGTACAAAACCCAGCGCATTACTCCCCCCAGCTTAGCTGAAATACATTTGAAGACTGTTTTTCAATACTGCTGACAGCTTGGAAAGCCCAAGTGCAAGGACAAGAAAAACTGCCAGTGAGTCAGAGCAACACGTCTGTTCATATTGTAATTCTACAACCTACAACTACATAAACACCAACTCTAATTGTGGTAGCCTACTATACAAGAAAGGAACTAGTGCAGTTCTAACCATGACTACACGTAGTTCTTGGTTGCTCACACGTAAGCTTGATCACACATGAGCAATGGAAGAACCTATCTTGGGCCAGACTACATTCATGACACCAGAAACAGAAAATACAGCAAATGAGATTCAAGGCACTATCAGCCACTATTCTTTACATATATAGCGAACATAAAGCTTAGCCAATGTCTCATAAATAACTGGTCCTGCACATAAAGATGTTTCACAGATCAGCAACATGAAGTTAGTTGTTGGAGAAGGCTGCAAAACAATGTACATAATTTGCCCCAGGAAATAGCAAAAAGAAGAATCCTCTTTGAATTAGTTGAAAAGAACTCAGTAACTGTTTCACTTACCTCACTTGGGCTGCTGCATCAACATCCTTGAGCTTCTCAAGTTCTGAAGGTAACGTAGCTGCAGAATGGTCTGCACATTTCTCCTCTGTCCCGACCTTCTCCTCCTCTCCTTTGCCACGAGGCTCCTCTTGCTCCCTGAGCCATGCCTGACTGTCCTGGTAGCTGCCCAAACTGCGGCAGGAATGATTCGACTGATCATCTTCTTGCTCAGAGCCATGGGCACTTTCATGGGAATGGTCCAGCTCACTTGGGTGAGAGCTTCCCTGGCTGACATTACAAGAGGAGCCATATCTACTACTGCCAGCAGGACTATGAGAAAACAAGAAAAGTCCATCAGAAAAATCAGCAGCTTAGAGAAATGCAAAGCAATCTGCACATCTAACAAACTGAGCAGGACACTAAATATTACTGAAAAGACATGTTATGAAGTAATATTTAACTATTATGCTCCCTGAACTAGATCTAGACGTCTGAACCTCAAAACTTATGGTAGGCAGTAGAAATACTTCATACACAACCTGCCAGTATATAGACCATATATGTAAATAGTCTTTTTTGCAGCAACTGACTACTTCACCTGCCAGTGAAGATATTCTAATAACCAGACAGGAATAAGAATGGAAACATAGCAATTTAGAGTGGAAGTGTTTCTGTCTTCTGCAGTTTCACTGCAGCTAAGATCTTCACTATGACCATTTAAGCTATTGTTAAAAAAAAGTTAACTTACAGTTAACTTTATATATATTATACATTTATGATAAAATACAGTCAAGATTAAGGTTGTCAAGACTATCAACTTAAAAGCTTTTACAAAAGCAGAGCAATTTTTCAAAGGGAAGCCACATGTCTCACTCCAATAGAACTTTTTCAAGAATTTAATTTATATTAAAAAATGCCACAGGGGGGTGATTTCTGTGACTCAAGACACCACTTCCAGGACTGAATTCCTAGAATCCTCACACAGAACACAGTGGATAGAAATTTCTCATGCAGTCAGGAAAATCATGGCCAAGAATTATGCAGCATTAATGTTTCTCTCACTTGCACACTTAGGAGAATTTGAAGTCAGATAGGAAGTTCTGGGAGTGCAGTGTTGCAACTGTATGATCAGAGGCACAAGTTTCACTTACATCCTGCAGAGATACAAGTTTATTGAGTCTCTGTTTTGATTTTTAACTTCACACATGCTCAGGACTGAAAACAGACTCATGAAATACTGAGACCTTCCTTTAGTGGCTTTCCTAGCTGCATGAAACAACCTTTGCACAGATTTTAGGAAAAGCAAGCATTAGAATACCTTCACTTATATCTCTGAAAATGTTTAAAATCTTCCATAATGTGAAATGAACCTAATTAATTCTATAATATATCAGCAGTAAGTTAAATTTCTCTCCAAAATTAAAAGCCTTTACCTTGCATTTTGAAAACAAAATGCTCATTCTTTCCAATACATTCTACCTACTCTTACTTTTTTCTTAGCAAATACGACATAATTATCACTAAACAAGAAAGCAAAGTGAATTGCATGCAGTAGAATTAACACAGAAATAATGTAACTTCTGAAAGGCTAATGAAATTAGCACTAAAAGCATCTCATTCAGTGGGACACAGTATAAGAACAGGGAAATCCAATTACACTTACAGAAAAGAGTGGGAAAAGATGACAAAATGGTCTAAGGACTTACACATATCTAGTGACTGAAGTTTGCCACATCCTCTGTGACAGCTATCAGTAATACTACAAACACTTGACAACACATAGGGGATAGGACTGAGCTACCAACATCAGACACCAAGGCCATTATCTACTGCTGCAATATTGCATTATAAATGGTCAAAAACTTGAAACCATTTATTATGCCTCATTTGTAACTAGCCTTTTCTCATTCAGTTGTTCCACGCTATTCAGATCTGCTGCCTGTGTGCTAGGATGAATCGTTGCTGCACTAGAAGCAGAATCAAGCTCAGTTTCTTTCAGTTCAGGCTTGTCCGGTGCATGCTCTTCTGCCTGATATTCTTTCTGTGGTTCATCTGAAATCACATTCTGCTGATCTTCTGACTCTTTATCAAACTTGTCTTCCAGCTTTTTGTTGGATGTATCATCAACAGCATTTGCACCAGATGGTTCTTCAGAAAGTTCCTTGTCTACAGCGTCAGGCTGCTTTGAAGACAAGTTTACTTCTATCTTTGCATCAGTCAGTTGATCTGAGACTGCAGATTTTGAGTTTTCATCTGAACTGACTGTTCCTAACACCTTGTCATCTGGTTTTGACAAAGCCTCTGGTGGTATATGTGGTTCCCTTTTGGCAGAGGTCTCCTTGCTATCTTTTTGCCAGGGAAAGGAGAAATCTATTTTTTTCCCAAATACTGCTCCTTGGGCACTCTCTGGCTTACTCACCTTTTCTTCACTACCTCCTTCAAACAGAGTCGAAGAAAGTTTCTTAAAGCTTGACATGAGGCCCTGATCTGCTCCTGCTTTATTAACAGAAGGTGGCTGCTGAGAGAAGAACGACCCAAATGGCTTTCCACTGTCAGCAGATGACATAAAGCTGAATTTTGGTAAACTGGGGATGTTTGGTATTTCAAAGACCGTTTTACTATTGTTTGCATCTGGAGGAACATTATTATGTTTACCCTGTTTCTTCAAGTCATGTTTGGAAGCAATCCTTTCTGCAGGGACCTCATCAGTTGCTAAATGTTTCTTCTGTTCAGGAGTTTGTTGTTCTGCCTCACTCATCTTCTCTTCATTCATCTGGAGCAGATGAACATTGGGATCATCAGCTGGAGCTGTGGGTTCTCCACCATTACTGCTGATAATGTTCTGCTGATCAACACCAGCATTGGCCTGATCCCCTGTAACAGCAGGCTCTGATTCAAGCGTTTCCACTTGGGAAATGCTTGTGTCTGCCTCATTAGCTGGGGCTTCCATTTCCAGTTCCAGCCCATCAGTAAAGCCAGTCTGAAGGATGTCAATGGCTGCCTTGTCTGTAGAAGCAGTTTGCTCCTCTGTTACACGTGAAGACCCCACATCTAATTGATATATATTTACATCAGTCTGGTCAGCGACCTCAACCTGCACTGTATCAGCTGCATTACTGACATCAGACTGGCTTGGCTTAGTATCTGCCATCTCTGAGGGTTGTGCATCATTATCCAACTGCAGAACCTTGAGGGCTTGATTGTCAAGAGAGACTGCTGTTTCTGGAGTGATCCTCAAAGGTTTCTCTTTACAGGTCTCTGAGTTCCTACTTTCCTCAGTTCCTGTTTCCATAGGAGACTCTTTTGTGGAGTTCTCTTCAGTTGAAACAGGCAATATATCCTCCTTCAGAGAGCTTGTGACATCTCTTTTAGCCTCTCTAGCTGCAGCTGTATTTTTTGTCTCCCTAGAGTCTTTTTCTGGAACAGACTCAGTGACATCTTTCACACTACTGCTTTGAGGTTTAGGGGTGGATTTTGGAGGCATCTCTTTTGGAGAATCTTTTGGACCTTTGAAGATGCCAAAGAGATCATTTGTGAAAGCTGGTGCTGGGCCACTTGGGAGGGATGAGAAACCAAAGAAAGAGGAGCTTTTCTTCTGTGCAGTAGCAGGTGCAGTAGCTTGAGGTTGGGAAAAGAAACCAGATAATGTTTTAGGTGGTTTCATTTTTGTCATGAAACTCGAAAACATTTCAACTGAAGAATCCAGCACTGATTTATCACTCTCAGATTCCTTTGGTTTGTTTTGCAAATTAGATGTCTCTGGCATTTTAGAAGGAGAATGTACCTCTTTTGTCTGTTGCAACCTGCCACCAAGAGTTTGTTTGGGTAATTTCTGTTCTGGCCACTCACGCTGTACACATACTTCTTCAGAGACCACTTCATTTTTTATGTCACTCATAATATTTAAGTCATTTAGACTCTGAGAATCCATCTTATCACCTAAGACCATGCTATAATCTTTCTTTTCAGAAGCTTGTTCTTTTGAAGAGTAAGGCTCTTCTTTATCAATAGGAAATGCAACACTGTCCATTTTCCCTGTGCTATCCAAAGCATCTTCTTCTGCCCCTAAAGAAATAGTCTGTTGGCCCTGGGAACCCTCCTGCACACTGGAAGTCTGAAGGCAAGGACCAGAAGCAGCCAGTTTGGTTACTGCAGCATCATCAGTCTGTGGAAGCTTCTCTAAGTCACTCTCTTCAGCTACCTCAGCAACACTTTCTACGTTTTCCACAGCCAGTGTTTCTGATTTATCTTCTGGCATAGTGAGGTGATTAGATATTTGTTTGCCAGTCACTGCTGCAATAATATCATTAACTTCTTTTTTGTTCTCTGCATCTTGTTGCCTGGCAGAACTGCTAATTTTGACACCAGAGTCAGTGGAAATATTTTGCTTCACATATGGCTTAGAGTTCACTGGTTTAGCTGGTTTTGTATTATTCTCCTGTCCTGGAGCAGTTTGTGGCTTTTCATCCAAAAAGGACGTAAAATTGAAGAAGCTAAAGCTAGTGCTTCTTTGAGGTATGATCTTCTCAGCAGTTGGACCGCTGGAGAAAGAGGGCAGATGAAACAGCCCTGCTGTTTCTTGCTGCTTTCCACTAGCAGGAACAGGTGCTGAAGGCTTTGGTTCATCTGACCCAGTGAAGAAGGAGAATATGCTCCTACTGGCGGGCTGTGCCGGCTGTGATTTTGAAGCAGTGATATTCGAAACTGAAATGCTGAATGGCAAACTGAAACCTGACTTTTTAGGTGTCTGATCTGGCTCTGGTTTTGCCTGATTAACCGTGCCTCCTAAATTATTTCCTCCTTGCTGTTTTGCTACACTACTTTGCTGCACAGGTGACTGACTTGATTGGCTTATTTTGGGACCTACACCCATTGGCTTTTGTGAAGTATTTCCAGGAGGCACTTTTTTACTCTCAGGGGACTCCTCAGCTTTTCTGCTTCGTTGTTCCCTTTGCAACCCAGGGCTAGGAGAGACCTGTCTGTCCATGCCTTCTGTTCTCATCCCTTCCTTAGGGGTGGAGGACAGACATGGCATACTGGCACTCTGAAGACCCCCAGACTTCTCAGTTTGTTGTCTTGACTGAGCCACAGTTCTGCTATTGGATTTTGGCAGATTTGTAGTACTTGAGGTTGGTTGAGAAGACACAGACTCCACTCTGAAGAGATCTCCAAGGGATCCAAATAATGATGACATGCTGGAGGTTTCCTTCTGATCTGGCTGTATCACCTTTTCTGGTTTATCATTTTGACTTTTTGCCAAATCTGGTGAGGGCTGTGGCTCTTTGCTTATTTGCATTTTAAAGAAATCAAAAAATCCAGAAGCTTGGGTT